ACTTAGCTGTCTTTTGCCAATAGCATTAGTATGGTGTTACTCTTTCTTTCTTTTTCTTTCTTTTATTTTGAAGAAAAATCACTCCTGTGTCTTTATTAAAGAGTTAGAAAGCAATCAGACCTGGCAACCAAGGGGTGAGGCATTGGCCAAAAAGGTGGAGTGGGCTCAGGCCTTGGTGATTCAAGAACAAACTGATGGCCTGGGAGGTGCCAAGGAGACCATGGCAGCAGCTGAGGAAGTACTCAAGGGCACTTTCAGGCCCTGGCGCCATCAGCTGGTTCTGTGGGGCAGGGGTGGGGGGAGTGTGGGGTAGGTTGGGTTGGCCCGGAATCTCCCTGAGGCCACCCTGCTTTGTCTGCCTAGGTCATCCACTGGTCCTGATCCTGTTCGTTGCCTTCCACGTCCACCTCATTGACCTCTCCATCATCAGGTGACTCATTGTAGTCATTCATCTCGTCCATGTCCTGCATGTCTTCATCATCCTCTGAGTCTTCTTCACTATCCTCATCATCTTCATCATCATCCTCTTCTTCATCATCATAGTGCTCTGAAGCTGGCTTGCCACTGGGAAACCAGGTTGTTGTCTTTCTCTGCGATGCTTTGGAGCCAGGCCTGATGCTGCTGTTCCTGCTGCTGCAGCTCTGTCTCCTCCACACAGGGTCGACCCAGATTAAAGCGCAGTGTCTCAGTCACACGGGGGAAGAGTGAGGGGAACAAGGTGGTCATGGCTTCTAGACGCACCGGCAGCCAGCGGCGACCCGGAAGCGTGGTGTGACTCTTTCTAATTGCCAAAATTGATATTGACTGTCAAACACTGATCAGTGCATTAACATTCCTTGAGTATTTACTGTGTATGCAGTACTGTACAGACTGCAATGATAAGTTGGAAGAAAATGCATTGCCTCTCATATTAACAATTGGATATTTCTAGATTGATAAATATAACAAATAAAATTTTGAAACTTTTAACTAAAGGCAAAAACAAAGAATACATTAGATATTATAGGTTCTCACACTAGGGAGTCAGAAATTCTGTTGTAGTCCTTCCTGCCTCTGATTTGGTGCATTAGCTTGTAACCCTAGACAAATCATTTAATCCTTCTGAAAATATTTTCTCATGTTTAAAAAATGAGGATGACAGTATTTTCCCTGCCTAACTCCATAAGTATATTGTGATGATGAAATGAGACAGTGGCAATCAGAGCACTCAGAAGATTCTTCATCATGATACAAATATAAAGTGCTGTTTAACATTAATGGACTCAAGCATTTATAGCTCTTGATACCATAGTTTTTTGTGTTATCTAAGATATACCATTTAGTGTATCTACTGTGTTACATGCTCTGCTGTGCATTAGACATGTAGCTTTTCTCAAGAAGCTCACTTTACCAGCAAAAAGGAGCCGGAGATAATTAGAACAGGGTGGTGTGTGTCATTCTGTTCCTCTGATTTGTTGCTAGTCTTAGCAGGTAATTGAAGCATGTGGATGACTTCAGATGTTAACAGAAACTGTAGCCATTGGTGGGGTAGGTAACAGACCTGATTGTATAGCAACAAGTGACCCTATCTATGCCACTGTAAATATCACTCTATCTTTGTTCTCCTATGGCATTCTCAACTAAATGTAGCATTTTCCTAGTAAATTCTCTTTGGAAATGTAGGGCAAAGAGCACAAGTATACTTTTAAGCAGAAACTATTTCTAGTCATCTGAAAACTGTTTCAGTACAAGTGATACTTGCTTTTTGAGAAAGAGTAAGACATATTCCTTTTTATCCCAGCCCATTTTAAGACTTGAGGGTTATAAAATACAGTAGTTTGGTGATGGTGATAGTGGTGGTGGTAGTCATAGTGATAGAGCATTTCAAAATGATGTGCCTTTAAAAAAAGTTCTAGCCACCAATGCAAAAGTTAGCACTTCTGTGTCACCAGATTAAGAGATACACCTGCACACATTCAGCAACCAAAGTTTTAAGAGCCATTTATATTCTGAGTGGAGAACTTGTGCTTCTCAGGATATATATATATATATGTATGAAGAAAGAGAGACTGATTTTTAAGGAACTGGTTTACATGATTGTGGAGACTGGTACATCTGAAATCTGTGGGAGAAGTTGGCAGGCAAGTAAGGGTTAATGTTGCAGACTTCAGTCCAAAATCTTGAGGGCAGGCCAGGAAGCTGGAAACTCAGGCAGAGTTTCTACTTTGCAGTCTTGGGGCAGAATTGCTTCTTCTTGGGAAACCTCAATGTTTGCTGTTAAGGCCTTCAACCGACTGGATGAGGCCCACCCACATTGTGGAAGGTAATCTGCTTTACTCAAAGTCTACTGATTTAGATGTTAATCACATCTAAAAATCTTCACAGCATTATCTATACTGGTGTTTGACCAAACAACTGGGTACCATAATCTAGTCAAGTTTTCACATACAGTTAACCAACACGGTGGACTTTGGCCTTCAAAGCTCTGGTCAATGATTACGATTACCCAGAGCCCATCCTTACCATATAGGTAATCACATTATTTTCTGTGGAGATAATCAATAACCAACAGCTCAGAATGTGGGTTCCTGAGCTTCAGTCCTAAGACATTATCTGTTTCATTCCAGAATATAAAATTCTATAGGACCTGCGTGGATTCCCCCCAGATGAGGGGGGGAGCTCTTTACTTGAGGTCAGGGTGGATGCTCTCCTTTTGCCGAGCTGAGGGTCTACATTTTATGTCAGGTTCCTTGATTCGCATGCAACTGTTGTAATAGTAGTGCAGATCCTATGCAGTCTCAGGCCTGAGCCAGCAATCCAATTCAGCCTCTCTACAATTTAAACTAAGGCTGTAGTGCTAGGTAGTGCATATGATTCTCTTACCTTATTTTTCCTTAGCTGAAACTCTCTCTGTAAATTTTTTGAGCATTATTTCTTCTTGTCTAGCTGTAGTGCTTAAGTAGTAGCTGGATCAACTTCAAAAAAAAAAAAATCCTGAAGGAAAACATTAGGCAGTCAAAGTGACAGTGGTGACATCATCGATCCATCCAATCTTCTATCTGGTGATCTGGGTGTTTTCTGGTGCTCACTTTGTGCCCAGGATGAGCTCAGGGTGATCATAAGAAATGTTTAGTTATAGTTCTCACACTGTGGAAGCTTAAAATCTAGTTAAGGGACATGAAACTGATGCTCATAGTGAAGGTTACCAGAGAGAAAACATTTATCTAGTCAAATATCTGGAGGTGAACTTAGATTCAGTGTGGGTCTAACAACTGATATCAGAGAAGCTTTTCTTATTAACTTGAAGATGTAGGCCATGGGCATGAACAGTTAGATCTTACCCTATTAGAAGTGATCTATTCTTTGAGTTGTTAGACCCACACTGAATCTAAGAAGGAAAGCTGAAGTCATTTGAAAGCAAAGTAAAATGATTAGGACTCTTCCTTCTTCAAAGAAAAAGGATGGTAAGGGAATATTTACTGAAGTCTGTAAAATCATCAAAGAGATAAGTTATATAAAACCAAAATTACATAATAATTATATTACCAAGTTTATACATATGCTATTAATAAAAGAGTACTATCTCATTGTTATTGTCAAATATAATTTAACAAATTCCCATATTGCTATTTTGTTGTCTTAATTGATTAAAAGTACTGTTTTTAAAAAATTGTGATTGAAAACATCTATCTTAAGCAGTTTTATTTTTTAAACAAAGTATGAGTATATGTTTTACATATTTGCTTTTACTTAGGAAAAAAAACTTACTTAGAAAAATACAACTTGGGTGTAGTACCATGTGGTGTAAACAACTGAACTATTTTACCTTTTACTTACCTATGAATGAGCCAGTATATGTTTATTACTGGAGTTCCAGCTATAAAATTCAGGTAAGGGGTTTAAATATACCCTGGAGTATTATTTAAAAATAAATTTGTTTCTTTCAAACAGAATACCAACCTTGGTCTATGACATTTGGGAGAGAAATTAAAATATTAAAGTTTTATTGCCTAGTAAACTGAAAATAAAGTAAAGGTTAAATAAATACAAAGTAGAAAAAAATATATATACAAAATCACAACCTCTAAAAGGACAAACAGTCTACTGTTCTCTACTGTGGGAGCTTTATCAGCACTAGTTAAGTAATCCTACCTCTAGGGCAGTGCTGGTACTAAAGAATGTAAACAAGTATGTACTTTGTTTATATAAAGAAATGTGCAGCATGGTTTGTATTTCTTTATAGATATCGAACAGCTAAATGGATTGTTTCAAAGCACCAGTAGGGGCCAGCAAAGAGCTCTTAGAGTTTTTCAGAACAGAATTGGCATTGAGATATGTTTATTTGATGTGTTAAATCCCTTTTAGACTTCTTTACTTACCACAACACTTTCTTAAGTGAATGAATTGCAGAGACAGTGGAATAAAATATCCCGTGTGTTCAACTATATTGGGGTGTAGGGGTTTTTTTTGGGTCTAATCTGCATATGTTTTTAATGGAATGTTTGCTTAGGCTATTTCTTGGCAGAGTTTTAATAGTCAAAATATAAATGGCATCATTTAAAGACTCTACTACTTGGCTGGAAAAGGCCTTAAAATTACTGGAGAAAATGCTTGGTGACAGCTTCTCTTAAACTTTTTTTTTTTTTTTCTCAGACCTACGTTCAATTTTTGCAATAGTATTACCAAGCTAATTTTGTAGTTCTGTCCTTAAGCTTTCACTTTTTATAACTGTACTTTGGAAGCTAAGATATTTATCTATTTGATTTAGTGCTAAAGTTTTAATTCACCCCGAAGTTCTGGTATTTCCAAATTTATACAACTGTTTGAATTTACTCATTAAAAAAATTTAACAGTTCATATTCCTTTCTACGTTCACTAACTTGACCAGATTCCTAGTATGGCTACTATTAGGAAATTCAGTCTTCGATTTGATACTCAAATACATGGTGTTTCGTTCCTACCAACTTCCTGTAATTCTATACCTATGGGTAAAAATATTAGTGGTCAAACTCTGCTGGAGAAAGTATAGGCACTGTGATTACATAGTTAAATGTTCATTTAGTAGAGCTGGAGTGAAAAAATACTGTTTCAACTTGAAATGCTAGAAGATTGTTGTTCTTGTGTTACTCATTCATGCAAATTGGAGAAGGTATAATTGAAACAAGGTTGGCTGTGTTTGAGTCAGTGTGCTGCAGCTGAGCTCAGCTTAAAGGTCGCTGGAAATCAAGTGCTTTGTAAGTGAAGGCTTTTTGACTACAAGCGATTCAAGACATTTTGGAAACATCAGTCTCAGGAATGGGTCGTCCTTTTCTTTCTATGATATCCGATATCTAATGTTTCACTGAGGATAAAGACTACTGCTTAATAACTTTTTTAGGCACCATAAATGATTTTTTCTTTCGATGCAGTGCAGCTGCTTCTAGCTTGTCTACGGACAGAGATCTTTGTTATGACTTTCAGCCCTTAACATGTTTGGAAATGAGAACAAATGGCACAAAGCTTACGATTGCACTTTGCAGCCAGAAGAAGCAATACTTATCCTTTGTCAGAAACCTCCGGAGATGATTTGGATAGCCATGTTCACATGTGCTTCAAAAGACCAACACGGATTTCAACATCTAACGTTGTTCAAATGAAGCTGACTCCCAGACAGACTGCACTAGCTCCGTTAATAAAGGAAAACGTTAAGTCTCAGGAAAGATCATCTGTTCCGTCATCTGAAAATGTTAATAAAAAGAGCAGCTGTCTACAGATTTCGCTACAGCCAACAAGGTACAGTGGATGTCTTCAGTCTAGCAATGTCTTAGCTGATGGTGATGATGCTTCATTTACTGGTATCTTGAAGGGTGGCATTTACAGCAATGCTGTGGTTGATAATGAACTGAATGCTGTGAATGATGGTAACCTTTTAAGCAGTTCTACCATTTGTAGTGGTAGCCTTAGTAACTTTTCAACCAGTGATAATGGATCTTACAGCAGCAATGGTAGTGATTATGGGTCATGTGCAAGTATCACAAGTGGAGGTTCATACACTAACAGTGTTATCAGTGACAGTAGTGGCTATACTTTTCTACCAAGTGATGATGCTTTTTTAGGTGGAAATTTATCTTCTGACAGCACCTCCAATAGAAGTGTGCCAAACAGGAATACTACTCCATGTGAAATTTTTTCAAGAAATCCAAGTACAGTTCCCTTTGTCCAGGATGACTTGGAGCATGGATTAGAGATTATGAAATTGCCAGTGAGCAGGAATGCAAAAATTCCACTGAAACGTTGCTCATCCTTGGTCATTTTTCCTAGGAGCCCTTCAAATACCCCACCAACTTCTCCAACAAGTACAGGTACTCTTCTAAGCAAAGGATCTTATCAAACTTCACACCAGTTTGTTATTTCTCCTAGTGAAATTGCACATAATGAAGATGGTCCTAGTGCTAAGGGATTTCTTTCCACAGCTGTCAATGGACTTCGGTTATCTAAAACAGTTTGTGCTGCTGGAGAAGTCAGAGACATACGGCCACTTCATGTGAAGGGCTCATTACAAAAGAAAATTGTTATTTCAAATACTAGTCCAAAACAGACTGTCTGTGAAAAGTCGTCTGAAGGATATTCTTGTGTTTCAGTGCATTTCACCCAACAAAAAGCAACTGCATTAGATTGTGAAACAGCAAATGGTGACTGTAAACCAGAGATGTCAGAAATTAAGCTTAATTCTGATTCAGAGTATATTAAGCTCATGCGTAGGACATCTGCATGTTTACCATCCTCCCACAACGTAGATTATCAAATAAATATCAACGGAGAGTTGGAAAGACCAAATTCACAGAAAAACAAAAACCATGCTGTTTTACAAAGAAGTATTTCATTGGGAGGAACTTATCCAAATATTTCCTGTTTATCCAGCCTTAAGCACAATTGTTCTAAGGGGGGACCATCTCAACTACTCATAAAGTTTGCATCTGGAAATGAAGGTAAAGTTGATAATTTATCAAGAGACAGCAACAGAAATTTCACAAATGAACTATCTAATTCTTGTAAGGTAAGTTTCCTTTGGTCTTAGTAAATGTTAATTTATACTAGAATAGCTTAATATAATATTTGATTAAAATTTATTATAACTAAGCAGTTTTATATACTTTCCTGGTCCTTAACTAACAAGTATTTTGTAGTCATGAACTTTGTAAGTCTGGAGAACCCCCTATGGTTTTTTACTCTATTTGTTATTTTACCAATGTACAAAATATGTATTCTTTTTTAAAAAAAAAACACAAACATTTACTAAGTGATTTAAGCCATAAAAACTTCCTATGGTTTAAAAACAAGCTTAAATAACAAACTATTTCACAACATTTTATCTTGGCGTATTTTTCCCTCAAATGGCATAGTATGTTAGTATGTAACTCAATATTTTGTTCCTATTTTCAAAAACGATTATTTAGTTTCCTTACCTCCTTAATCATGAAATGAAGTAAAATATAGAATGTTTTTTAAAATATTAAACAAAAAAACCCATGTCAAAATGTGAAGATCTTTTTATAAAGGAATATAGAGGAAATATATCTCTGAAATACATGTATTTATAAGATCATTGATAAAAACTATTATGCTGCATGTTTAAAGCAGAGGAAAGCGAAATGTCATTTGCATTTGTATATACGCTTAACCACAGGAATTTTGTTTCCACCCTATTTTTCTTTAGCCACTGGTTAATACTGCCTTCTAAAATGTCATTCACTCTTTCAATAATATTGAATTCTAAGTTTTATATTTTTGAATTTGGCTTAAATTCCTAGGCATCTCCCTTAATTTTCTATTTACCTGATTTGGGGTTTTTTTTGACAGTTTTGTTTTATTAGTAATTTAACTGTAATGACTCTTAGCCAAGAGGTTTTTTTTTTAAATATAATTTGACCTTTCCAAGGTATTTAAAGTGTTTTGACTGAATTAGATTTTGTAAATTTCTGTATTTGGAACATCTTGCCAGATTCCAGGAAATTTAAAAAATTTGCTAACTAAACCAGTCTAGATGACTGTACATAATAGTTTTGGAGAAAAAAACCTATCTGTTTATCTGTGTTTTTATAACATCCAATATCCATATTAAAGTTTTTTTTAACTTCTGGACAAGTAGCTTTAGGTAAATAAAGTCTTAAGTAATTGCTAGTTTATTTTCTTTCTCTTGAAATCTGGTAAATATAATCATTGTTAGCAATGCCCAGTTATTAATATAAACAACTAGTTTACTGAGGATGAAAAAAAGATCCAATTTCGAATTTTGATCTATGTTTCAGAATATTTAATTCCACTTCGGAAATTTTTCAGATTATAATCCAGTTAACTGTTTTCTCCCCAGAAAAAAGAAAGAGATACTTTAAAGAAACATTAATAGTTTGCTAATTGCATTAATGTTCCTTGTAAATTTATGTTACACTTAATGAAATAATTAACATGAAAGGAATAATTAACCTAGAAATATTCTTAGAAATATCCTTAAAATAGTTGATTTTGTGGTAATATTATAGTTTATTGTTATTGATGCTGTTCAAAAGAGTATTTTAAATGTATTTTTAATGAAATGTGAATTAAATGCCTTTTGCATTACTAAAAATATACATTTTTATTTGTTTTATTTATACTTAGGTAAGCTAACTTAAATTTTTTGTGTGTCACAATCAAATGTCTGTTTTTGGGAAGATTCTATTTTTTGGTAGATTATTGGATTATAAAATAGTTCAAAAATGTGCAGTTTGCTAAAGACCTTTAAATTGTCCCCCCTTCTAATGTTAATCAGACAACTTCTCTTTATGAAAGTATTATAAATGATATAGTGACAGTTAAATTCAATTTATAGCATATCTAAATTGATCTAATTGATAAGTAGTAAATTAAGGTCTTGTTTATGAGGAAGATTGTAATGTTGCTTTTTCTAAACATATCAGTTGCAACAACAATGGGTTTTAGAAATAATCCTGTGTTTATCAATAATTATATATTAATCTAATTATAGTGGTATATTGTAACTCATTTATAAATAAACAGCTCCAAAAATATTTCCCATGACTCCAGTTAGTCTGGGTTAGTATTCTGATATGCTGAGTCTGGATTCACATTTAACAAGTTGATATTAGAGTAGCATTTAGTAATGTCAGCTATCTGTACCAAGCAGCCGTGAAATTAAATCACTGCTTTGGTCAGAGACCCTGATTTCTAAAGCACTGAGAGGTCTACAGATTCTTATGTGTTTAGCTACCAGTCACTGGCATATAAAATTAAGTTTCTAGCTCTCTACAATGAGCTGCTCATTAATGACTAATTTTTAAAATCTGGTGCGAGCTTTTACCTGAATCTGGGACACATGCTCTGTTCTGTGTTTACAACTTAAAATGAAGATGGGATTTTGTAGTCTGCATGATATTTCAGGCATAGCAAAGAACATAACAATAGCTGGCATATGGTTATTATATATATGCCTTTTGAAATACAATATTACTTTTGTAAAGGCTATATAATGAGTTTCAATCTGAAAATAAATATTTGAAGTTTTAACATTTTAATATTTTGTCAGAAATAGGCTAAGGAACTAAGATACTTATACAGTTGTAATAATTACTATTATTCCAATTTCTAAAATCTGTATAGTAGTTAATTTTATTATTTTTCTCTATTTGTTGTTTCCTGAATCTCCTTTGTCATTAGAATGCTCAGATTTAATTACCCTATTATTTAATGCACCTTATCATTTTGCCCAAGTTTGTACATGTCTTCTATTCTTCACTCATATACACATTTTTATTAGAAATGTTTTTATGTTTTTCTTTTTGTTATAAAGGTTTTTGTTTATTAGCTGTTACTTAATCCTGGGTAGGTAAATTGCTTAAGCCTAGTGTAATAGAACTTTAAAACATTTATGTCTCAATTATTTTGAAGCCTTTAACACTAATCTCAAGATTATATATTTCAATCTTTATTTAGTATTTCCTAAATTAAATTCTTAAAATATATACTTATTTTAGTGTTCCATTATGTTCCCTGTCCTTATTTTATTAAATTTAGCAGAATATTTAAAGACATTTGGTTAAATTTATTTTTAATAGCACCTAATCTTTCCTATAACAACCAATATGACTCATAAATATCAACTCTGAACTAATGTAACAATGACCACTTTTAGAAATTTGGTAAAAAATGTATACTTGTTTATGTATATATTGCTTAGAACTGAGGAATCATTAATTTCAGAGAGGTTCAGAGAGCTGAATTGTTTCCTTGGACATACTTTGTATTCTCTGTAGATGTGTCATCTTTAATTCATTTATCCAGCACACATTTGAGTGCCAGACACCGTCCTAAGCATTGGGAATAAAAGATGAGCGAAATACAGTCTCTATTCAGGGGAGTTCCTAGTAATAGGAGCTCTAATAATAAGGACACACTGGTAAACAACAACAACAAAAACCTTCAGTCTATTGTGTGATGTGCTCAAACAGAAGTGTGTATGAGAAAGTGAGAAAAATGTGACAGCATTTTTCTGGAGGAGAGGACTTGGTTGGTAGAGGAAGACTTCACAGTGGAGGCGACATTTGAGCTGTATCTTGATGGGTGAATTGGAGTTCACCAGGCAGAGAAATTTTAAGAAGGCTATTCCGGGGCAGGGATTCTCAGTCTCAGCACTGTTAACATTTGGGGCAGGATTCCTCTTTGTAGATAGAGGGAGGCTATAGGATGTTTAGCAGTATCCTGGGCCTCTAGCCGCTAGATGCAAGTAACACCCCTCTCCCCCACTATGACAATCAAAAACAGTCTCCAGACATTGCCAAATGTCCCCTAAGGGATAAAATTGCCCCCTGTTGAGAATCACTGCTTTGGCCAGGAGCAGCGGCACATGCAAGGCTAGAGATGTGAAAGAATCTCACCCTCTATGTAGTGGAGTGCCACTAAAGCATAGAGCAGCCTAGGGAAGTGGGAGGAGCTGATCTGTTGGAAGTAGGTTGGAATCCCATTAGACCTGGTACCTCATGCTAAAGACAGAGTAGTGTATGTCCTGCTAAGAGACAGTAGTTAGGCAATGGAAGTCATTATTTGGAAGTGTAAATTGCTCATTTTTGTGTTTTTAAAATATACATTTTCATGATACCATGGATTATAAATGAATCAAGGTTTTCTTAACTTGGATAACTGAGTGAACGGTGGTATCATTAACTAAGGGAATTCAGGAGAAGGGGCTAGATTGGGAAGGTGAAGAAGGAATCACATGTTGTTAAGTTTGTGTGCCTGAGACGCTGTGCCGGCAAGTAGGGTGGTTGGAGAGACAGGACCAGGGTGCAGGAGAGAAGTGAGGCTGGAAGTGCAGATCGGGGGTATAGTCAAAGCCTCAGGTAAGGATGACATCTAGAGAACATACAGTGAGATGGATAAATTGGAATTCTGGGGACCACCAACTTTGGTGAGGTGATGGAAGAAGAGAGAAAGAGGAGACTAAGGAAGGGCCACTAGAGAGGGCAGGAGAGCATGGCATAGTGGAGTAGAGGGCGGGGAAGGAGGAAAGCATGCAGTGCCACAGAGAATTTGAGTATTCACCGGCTGTGGCAATTAGGAGGTCCTTCAGGAAGAGGAGGCCCAGGAGGAGGTGGGTCGAAAGGCAGGTTGAAGAAAGAATGAAACAGAAAGAGTCAATGTAGGTTGCTCGCTAAATGTCATAAAGTATGAGATGGCTTAGGTAAGGTTTACTAATGATTGCTATGGAGAAGACACAGTATAACCTGGTATATAAGATGTATGTGGTGTATATGACAAACTCCCTCTCTACAAGGAGAGTACAGTCTCTTTTCCAGACACAAAAACAAAAAAAGGTTGTAGCTATAGAGTAGGTTGGAACTATAGAATAAGTGAGTGTGAACAGTGAAAACTGAAATGGAGATTCAGTAATATGAAATGAGGGAAACAGAAAACTAGAAGTGAGAATTTGAAACTACTTACCACTAGCACAACTCATTTTGGATAGCATTATTCTAAGGTTCTCAATCCCCTGCTACGACCAAA